CGTTCACACAATGGCCGCCCTGAACCCAAGTGACAGGTCACACTGAGAAAACTTGTCGTCGTCGACGTGCACACAACACACAGCACGCCGATCACCGCACCAGCCGTGCAGAAGGGCGCGTCACCTACTGCTGCACGTCGTCGTCGACGTCGGCCAGCCGCACTTGGCTGATAGCGACGGGGCACCGGTTGAAGGCCGGAAAGTGCAGCGCCTTTGTCAGGAAGTCGGTCGGCTGCTCGGTGGTCGGGATGTACCTCATTACAAACTTCCCATGTGTTGCAGCCATGCATATCGCCGCTCCATGTGCTTGAGGTTTCCCTTCAGCCCCAAGCCCTCGACGACCATAATGGCCGACTTGTTGTCCACACGAAGGATAACCTGCGTCCCACCGTCCAGCAACTGGAACTCTGCAAGGAGGAAACGAAGTCAGCGTGCCTCCTTGCCGGCGTCCGTGGCTGCAACGTACTTTGACTTGGTCGAGGAGAGCGTCGCGTACTTGATACGCTGGCTCAACCAGGAGACGGCGGCCCCTCCGAAGACGAACACGTAGCCGCTCGTGCTCCTCCGGTTCTGCTTGTTGCCGGCGTCGTCGGCGTCCATGTAGCCGACCAGACTGAGCGACTCTTGTCCGCCGCCAAACTCCAGGGCGGCATCACGTGTGTCGGCGAGGTAGGCGAGGCAGCGATCGACCTCACGCCTGTGCTGTTCGCTCCCCACCGTCAAGCCGCTCCCCAGCTTGCTGCACGTGAAGGCGATGTCCGGCGTCGTCGTCGTCGCCGCGAACTGCAGCGAGCCGACTTTCTGTCGGTACCCCTCCTCCTCGCGCGCCTGAGCATCCTCGTCATCGAAGGTCAGCTCGGCGTAGGCGACGATGAAGACCGGAGTCTTCGGGATTCGACCGCCCTGCTCCTCGTCGATGAAGCGCCCTGCTGCTCTTTGTCGGGGTGACGTAGTTCGCCTGCGGAAGGACCTCCGTGGGCCGTTCTGCCTCCTGCATCGCCTCGCCTTTGATGATGTGGGAGGTGAGGGTGTCCTCGTCGAGCAACTCACGCACGCCCGGCATCGCCAACATCCGGCACTTGAGGTTGTAGCCGCTCGGGAGGCCCTTGACGACGTGCGTGATGTAGGACGCCGCCGAGTAGTCGGCGCCGGCCATCCTCATGTTGGCCAGAATCCGCCGAGCACGGTTGCAGTAGTCGGTCGCCGACTCCTGCTCGCCCATCCTGATGTGGGTCAGCGTCTCCTCCAGCTGGCTGATGTACAAGTCGTCGTTTGACTTGTACGTCCTCATGATGAACTGCCACGGCTGGTGGTCGGCGTCCACCCGAAGTCGGCACGACTTCAGAGCGACTTGCACCATCGGCGAGCAGCACCGCGAGATGACCATGAAGGTCAGCAGGTGAGCGGCACGGAACTCCGTCCAGAGCTTGGCGTCCTCCTCGTCCGGCGCCAACACGTCGCCGTTGACGAACTTCTTGAGCCCGGCAATGTCCAGCTAAGGCTCAATTGATTTTGTCCAGGTGAGCAGGTCATGTCGACCTTCCAGCAGCTTGGGCACGGCGATTTTGTCCGGCGAGAATTTGAAGAAGCCGTACGCCGGCGCAATCCCTCCGTCCCGCCCAGCAGACATGTGGGTCGCCGACGTCGGCCCGACTCCAATTTGCAGGGGAGAGCGACGTCGTCCACCGACGTCGTCGAGAGAGCTACCTGCTGCTGCAGTCGACCGAAGTCCTCTCGCCTGCAACCCGCCGACGCCGACGTCGGCGGACCTGATCACTCCTCTTGGCGTCCTCGTGCCCTGGGAGCCGGCTTGGTCGCCGCCGTCGATTTCCTCGTCAATGCCGCCTTCATTTCGCACCGGTCGAGGAGAAGAAGTTCGGGAAGGGTGTTCCCTCGCCCACTGCGCACGGATACCCAGGAGAAACACCTCCAAGGGTAGGGCCGTCCCGAACTCGCCACTTGTATGGCGTCTCCTCGCATCAGCTAGCCGTGCCTCCAACGTATCCTCTACACCTCCGGCTTCTCCAGGGTTAGGCATCATGGTCTGCAGTGGCTGAATTAGGTAATGCGCACATAAGTCGGCTACTCTGAATGTATCTTTGCGGGGCCGTCCACGCTCACCGCACCATGCGGAGATTCACTCTACAATGGTGGGAGCTAGACTACGGGGAAGGCACGGATTGTGTGAGTGATCGCAGCGTTCCTTAGCGTTCTCTCTACTTGCGCATTCACAACGAGAATTGGCAAGAGTTTCACTAGAGAAAGTTCATAACAATGGTTGGAACAAAGATGGCAACAATGACTACATCAGAAGCAAGTCTGCCTAGCACATAGGCAGGCCGACCTCCAGCGCAGCAAAGTCAGCGACCTACTAGCACTGCAAGTCCGCACTGCTCCAGCGCTGCAGAGAGACGACTTGCCAACGTAGCAAGTCGGCGGCTTGCCAAATCTGCAGCAAGGAGGCCGTCCAGCGTTGCATTCGCAGATGACAGCAGCGCACATGCGCGCACCTACTTCGCAAGTGCTTGCAGTCGGTTGGTGCGACGTGCAGCGTCACGTGCACGACGCAGGTGTCAAGTCGGCCACGTGCCATTGTCTGCGCCCGATGAGCCACGTCGACCTCCGAATACCACTTCGAGGTCGGCTTCGCCAAAACCTCCTGGGCGACGGTCGCGCACCCCGCAGAACCTCGTCGCCCTGGTAACTTGGTCGACCAGGAAACCGCCAGGTCGGCGTTGACTTGTGCGGCCGAAGTCGACCAAATGCTGTACGTGCTCGTCGATCACGCAGGTCGACGGCCACCCGCCAACTTAACCAAGTCGGCCACTCAGCAGGTCGACGAACCCTTCGTTGACCACCAGGCTGTCCGCCGACTTTGCCAAGTCCGCCTCCAAAGTCAGTGTGAAGATATGAAAACGTAAGAATGATTGAGGAATGACAAAACAAGAAAGATATTGGAAATGCTAACCCTAACCCAAGCATAATTGTAACACACATAGACTAACACACATAAACAATAACAAATATAGTTTGACACACTCCCATAGTCTAGGTGACGGTAGTCCTGTGGAAAGCAACATATATCTCAGGGTGGATCCCAAAGACACCACACACTCTGAGAGCAGGCAAGGGTCACAGGACCAATCAGCAAGAACAAGCAAGGGTCACAAGACCAGTCCACAAGAACAAGGCAAATCTCAGGGTGGAGCTCAAAGTTACCACACACTCCGAGAGGAAGCAAGGGGCCATAAGGGCAGTCCACATGCAAGTATATAGCAAGTATAAGAGATGCAAGAGTACAAGACATGCATGACAAGCATCTCTACAAAAGCAAGAGGCCACAAGGCCAGTCCACAAGCATAGATATTGGATATATAATGAGATGCAAGAGTACAAGACGAAGCATCTCTACGCAAGCAAGTGAGGGCATGTAGACAAAAGGCCGAGCTGGGTGCAGAAACGCTGGTGGTCACAAGGCGGGAACGCCTTAGTGAAGATATCTGCTATGTTGGCCTCAAAGACCACACGTCGTACAAGTGCCTGGCCGCGCTGCTGCAACTCTCGCAGAAGGAAGTAACGAAGCTGGATGTGCTTCGCCTTCACAACCAGTCAAGGCTCCTCGCACAACAGGACAGCAGACATGTTGTCGGCGAACACGACTGGGGGAGAGCGAGGCCGCTCACCAAGGTCGGTGAGGAGGAAAGACAGCCAGCGAGGATCCTGTGCGGCCATGGCTGCAGCTTACACCTCTGCCTCACAGCTGGGACTAGAGACGGACGACGCCTGAGTCGACCTCCACGAAACAGCTCCGGTCCCAAGGCTGAAGCTGTAACCCTGTGTAGACCGCAGTGACTCTGCGTCGTCGGCCCACGACGAGTCCAAGAAACCTGTGAGTGTAACTGGCTGCTTCCCTCCAAGGACAAGTCCTATACCTGATGTGCTCGCCACATACTTCGCCACCCTCTTTGCAGCGTACCAGTGGGAAGGTCGGTGTCTCCCAGACGCAACAAAGCGCGCAAGGACGATAAGAGGGTAAGCTAGGTCTGGGCGAGTACAGGTCATCAGGTACATGAGACAACCCACCAGCTCAGGATATGGACCACTGGACTAAAATGGCTCATCCGAAGGTGGAGCCGTGAGCCCATGATCCAAAGCAAGAGGGGTGAGCTGTACCTTGGAGAACGGGAAGCGAAACCGCGTGAGGATCTGCTCAACCATATGCGACTGCGTCAGCGTAATGGTGCGAGCTGCCCTGTCCCTGGTGATCTGCAAGCCAAGGTAGTGCTGCAGCTCACCAAGGGCTCAATCGCGGATGGTCGGTGGCGACCTTCGAGATTGACGGTCATCCGCCTCAGCGCCTGCTCTTCCAGAACTCAGCTCAGGTAACCCGACTCTGAACTTGGCAGTGAAATGCTGATGCGGCAACCATGTGGCGCTTGTATAAAGTTATCTTCGTTATCCTTGTATGAGATCTGACCCACCTTCAACGCCACTAATCATGCCCCTCTTCTCTTCTGCCTTCGCAACTGTACACCAGGCATTCGCTGAACTGTTTGGGCATCCCAACAACGCGCCCGGCTTCAAGCTCAAGGCACGTGTCGATGAGGACCCTGGCACAGGCGACCGTCGCTATATCACGCCGGAATCTGGAACGTGGTGGAATGATGCTCAGGTAAGGAAATACCCCGTTGCCACCCAAAACCCGATCCGTGCTCATGCCTCCATTGCTGCGCTGATGTGTCTGGAGCATCTTGAGTGTGTCATGTTCGTTGCACATGCTATGAAGGTGGTTTGATCCGCCTGGCGACAAGTTACCTTGGTGGTGTCTCAAGCCGGCAGCGCCTCTCCCACGTCCTATCCGCCCAGCACGTTGTGCGTGATGCACCGAGCTTGTACGAGGAGCTTCAACCCTGCCCTGCCCTGCCGCCTGCGCCCTGCCTGGCAGCTACGGGCCCGTGGCGGAGGTGTGGCTGGACGGCGCCAAGGGGGACCGCCGCCCCATGACCTCCCACACTGCCACGTGGCAGGCTCTCATTCGCCAGCTGCAGCCGGCAGCGGCGGTGTTTTCAGCGCAGGGCCCCGACATGCGGTGGGCGGGCAACGAGCGCGGCGAGGCGGGCGAGCCGTGCTGGGCCATGGTGAACGGCAGCTCGTTGACCCTGGAGGGATGGGACACCGAGTGAGTGCCCACGGTCACTGGGGTGGCACTGGGAGTCGAGTGGGGTGGCACCGGGGGCCGACTGGGGGGCGAGTGGGGGCGTACGGGGGGTGAGTGGGAGGACAAATGGGGGGCCGAGTGGAGGGTGAGTGGGGGACGTCATTGCCCTTTTTCTTGTTTCCACATGCGCCCATCCATGCGCCCCCTTGTGCACAACCATGGGTTTGCATGCATCCGGTGTGCCGTACATACATGCCATCCCCCTGTTCCCACACCCCTGCCACCCTCTCTCCTTCACCACCCACTCCTTCCGAGTCCCAACCCATGCCTTTCCAACCCATCCACCCCGCCCGCAGCTACCTGAACCACGGTGATGTGGCGGGCACGGATTGGATGCCAGCAGAGTGTGACGTGTCCATCCGCCCGGGGTGGTTCTGGCACCCCTCGGAGCGCCCCAAGCCCCTCGCCCACCTGCTGCACCTCTACTTGGCCTCGGTGGGGCGCGGGTGCTCGCTGCTGCTCAACGTGCCGCCCAACACCACGGGCCTGCTGCACGGGGAGGACGTGCAGCGGGTGGGGCAGTTGGGCCGCGCGCTTCAAGTGCTGTTCCAGGAAGAGGTCAGCCCCGGTGCTCACGTGCACGCCAGTAGCGTGTATGGCTGCAAGGAGGGACGGAGGCGGAGCGGGGAGGAGGAGAGGGATGCTGGGAGGGGAGGGTTCGGGAGGGAGTTATGGGGGTGGTGGGGGGGATGGGCGCGAGGGAGTGGGTGTGAGTACAGGCCTGAGAATGTGCTGAGTGCAGGGGATGGCACCTTTTGGGCGGCTGAGGATGGGGTGCTGTCTGCTACTCTCCAGTTCGACCTCGGGCAGGTGAAAAACTTTCATGTGGTGCGTCTGGAGGAGCCTGTGGCGTACGGGCAGCGGATAAAGTCGTTCAGTGTGGAAGTGCTCGACCCGGACCCTACTGCTGCACCCGCCGCCACTCCAGCTGCCGCTGCGGCCCAAGTCAGTGCTGCTGGTGCTGGCGGGTGTGGGTCAGGCGGGTGTGGGTCAGGCGGGTGCAATGGCAGGGATGGTGTGCTTCCCCCCCTGCCTGGTGTGCCGGGCGGGAGTGTGCATGTGGCCCACACACCGCATGGCGCCCAGGGGGCTGTGCGCAGCATGCTGGAGCGCACGGGGTGGGCGGGGAGAGCGGGCGAGTGGAGGGTGATAGCGAGTGGCAGCACAGTGGGGCGCAAGAGGCTGTTTTGGGTGGAGGCAGTGAGAGCGCGGCATGTGAGGGTGGTGATTCACGATGCGCGGGCTGCCCGCTGCTCTCCTACGTTGCACTCTACAGGAGTGGCGACCCGAGTGCAGTATGACGCGTTAGAGGTCTACATGATACCTTATGGCTTGGGCTGTTTGATCTGCCTTGTGTGGACTGGACTGGACTCAACACAGGTCTGTCATGGGAGCCCTAGTGCTGCTGTCATGTGGGATTGCACATGGAGGAGCAAGCTGCAAGAGGTAAGTCGCCCACGCTTGATAGCTATTGTGCGTTGTACTTGTGGTATGAGCTCAGCTGTATGCTGTGCATTTTTCCACATCATTTGAAGCTGTATGTATATAGTGAAATGCAATCTAATTTTTGCTGAAACACCAGATTCTGCTATTCGAGTCTTCAACTTAAAGCAAGGGTGCACTTTGGGGGGGGTGGACCCAAAAGTTTATCACTTGCCTTTGGTGGTTACCCTGTTTGTGAGGGGGAGTCAGACGAGAATCAAAGTTCAGTGTTGGCGGACTTGCGCGGGGTATCTCTCCCCCGTCGTCAGCTGCGACGCCCCTGCACAGAGTTGGGAACTTGAGGGCGTGTCCCACGAGTTCGTTTACAGTTCATCTTCATGTTTGTTACCCTATTTTGTGATTGTAACACTCTACTGTATACATGCGAGTTAAATGACGCATGACAATTGACGCTTTTTCCACGTCGACGTGTTCGTTTTGAACGCGTTTAGAAAGAGAACCTACGAACGTGCGATCACCTCGAACAGGTCCGCGTGAGGGGTTACCGTAAGCTCCAAATTCGCCCAACCCATGGTCTCGCGAAAACAACGACCGTCGCCAGGGGTACCGAGTCGCGGATTCTGTCAATTGTGAATCGCGGGTTACCGCTCGCGGATTCTGTCAATTGTTAAAGCTCGCGTCTCATATTTTTCTCCGTTTTACATTTGGATGCGTTTAACACTTGGTTGGGTTCCGTGAATGGTTGACGAAAGACAAAATATGTGACGAGCTGGGGTGCGTTTCTGGCGGAACCAATTACGGACGTGCATTCCCAACCAAGTGTTAAAGCGACGGGCAACTTTTGGCAGTGTTGGGTTCAGAAGTTTTTTTTTTGAACCAGGCTTGCCAGTGCGAAAGTGCTGGCTGGCGAAAACCAGGATTTCGTGCGGACACTTTCCATCCGCAGTAACAGTTCGCCAGGGTTCTGGGTTTTGGGTGGCAAATGTGCACCGTCGCTTTAAAGCTCGCGTCTCATATTTCCAACCGTTTAACACTTGGTTGGGTTTGCCCGACTGTGATTGGGTAACGAAAACGAAATATTTGACGAGTGGGTGAAAAAATCACATCGAACTACCAAAACAGTCGAGGCCAAAACAAACCAGGGTGGGTTGGTTTGGGTGGAAAACGAGCCAAGGGGGACAGGTTCGGTCCCCCCTTCTGTCAATGTTGAGTTTCAGAGTCTCATATTTTTGGAAGTTGTAAACGCTTGGTGTGCACGGGAAGTGTGCGACAGCCAACTTTCCCAAACCACCCCTTGCTTTGGTGTGCTTTGCGACAAACTTTGCTGTTACCAAATTCCAACCGTTTAACACTTGGTTGGATAGTAGAAATATGAGACGCGAGCTTTAAACGCATGTAAACATGAGACGCGAGCTTTAATCGCTTGACGAAATTTTGTGTGGGCGGGACTATGCGTCCGCCTGGTGCAATTCCGTTTTGCTCGGTGCTGACACATTCCGTTTTTTTTCCCGTCAGAGTGTACACTCCTTTGCTGACTCGCAGTTTACGTAATAAAAAAAGGATTTTCCCCTAAACGAACTCATGGGACACGCCCTGAGTGTGTGTTGCGGTTTGTGAACCAAAACGGGATGTCCAGTGCCTACGCATTTTCTCGTTCAGATGTTCGTGAATGCTTGTGCGACTTCGCTAACAATTCGAACCGTGGTGACACTTTTTCCTTCTTTCAACGGTTCAGAATGTGAACAGCGTACAGTCCGAAACCAAAACGGACAGTCCGCCAGTCCTGGCTAGAGATTGGCGCGCGAAACACAATCTACAGTACCTCCACCGATTGGCGGACGAATTTTGATTACGATCTGTCGCAAACTACGTTACGAGGATACACCACCTCTAACGAGGCTACAGTTCTCGCCTAAATTACGAGCAAGCAAAAAGTGTCACTTTCCTATCCGGACGGGGGCAAAGTACCGAAACGTCAAAACGGACGGTTCTGTTCTCGTTAGTTGGACCGTCCGTTTCAAAATATGAGGACCGTCCACAAAAACGCAAAAAATCAAAATGGTTACACGCCCTTATCACTTGGCCAAGGAGACGCCAACCAAAACAGCAAGACGAGCACCAGCCTAGTTAGTCTAAACGACCAGCATACACCCGCACATCGCCTTCATTTCGCCCGCATTTGCCATTAGTTTTGTTCGCACTCACTCGACACCATCCGCCTGTCGAACATCGCGTTGCGCATTTAGGGCGCTTTTATCCGCCAAGGCGCACGCAGAGGGCGCTACTTGACCAAACAGGCGAAGGGACGTCCGCGCTCACATCCCTCGCCTAACGTGCAGCGAAATCGTAAACCATCTATTGCACTGCCCGGCATCGCACGCGTTTCCGTGTCGACGTTGCCATCGCTCACTCCCTCTCATAGCCCACGCACACTCCCCTCGTCCGCCCCCGCGCACTCCCCTCGTCCGCCCACTCACACTCCCCTCGTCCGCCCCCGCGCACTCCCCGCGTTCGCCCACTCACACTCCCCTCGTCCGCCCCCGCGCACTCCCCGCGTTCGCCCACTCACACTCACCTCGTCCGCCCCCGCGCACTCCCCGCGTTCGCCCACTCACACTCCCCTCGTCCGCCCCCGCGCACTCCCCTCTTTCGCCCACGCTCACTCCCTTCCCGTCGGGCACGCGACGCTTCCTGCCATTTCACACGCTCCCTCCAAGAGGTCGCCCACGCTCATTCCCCTCCGTCACCCACGTCCATTTCCCTCCGTGCTGGTTTAGTACCAGCAGCCCCAGTCCTTTCCCCCTTTGCGACCCGCAACTCCCTCTCCCCCCTGCTTCCCCGCCGTCTCCTCCCTGCTTCCCCTCCTTTCCTGGACTGCTTCCCCTATTCCCCCCCCCCACCCCCCCTGCTTCCCATCACGAAGGTGGCACGGGATCAAGCAGCATTTCGTGCGACGTGCGGACGACCAGCGACACAGCGCGGCGGCGAGAACAGGAGTTGAGCTGCTAAGGCGCGGTTGTGCCAAGGGGTTGCGAGGAACGGGTGCACAGCCTGGTTTGGTATGCATTGACGTCTTGTCGGGGGCCTGTTCCTTATTTTCCACAACCCCCTCGCACGCACATTGCCGCTACTCCACTCCCCGCCCCTCTGAACGCATCTCACTTGCGCGCTTGCCGCTTCTCGCTCCCACCCTAATCCCCTGTTTTCCAGCGTTACATACCTTCTGCACCTTTCACCTCTCAGCCTTACTCTCGTCTTCATCCTAAACCCTCTCTGCCTTACGCCCATCCTCCCCTCACTCGCACTCATTCTTACACCCTTCTTCCAACTATCCCCTCTCTACCTTACGCCCTGCTTCCCCCTTTCCCCTCGATTCCCTACACCATTATTCCCTCTCTCCCCTCCCTGTCTTACACCCTTGTTCCCCCTTTCCCCTCTCTGCCTTACCCCCTTCTTCCCGTTCTCTGCCTTACGCCCTGCCTCCCCTTTTTCCCTCTCTTCCCTACATCCTTCTCCCCCGTATCCCCTCTCTGCCTTACGCCCTGCCTCCCCTTTTTCCCTCTCTGCCCTACATCCTTCTCCCCCGTATCCCCTCTCTGCCTTACCCCCTTCTTCCGCCTTTTCCCCCTCCCAGCCGTACGCCATTCTCCCCCCATTTCCCCTCTTCCATACCCCCTTCTTCCCCCTTCCCCCTCTCTGCCTTACGCCCGTTTCCCCCCTTACGCCACTCTGCCTTACTCCCCTTCTTCCACCTTTTCCCTATCTCCCTTGCTTCCTTCTTCCCCCTACCCTCTCACTGCCTTACACTCTTCTTCCCCCTTTCCCCTCTCTTCTTCCCTACACTCTTCTTCCCCACCTCCCCTCTCTGCCTTACTCCCTTCTTCCCCCTTTCCCTTCCCTCCGTACACCCTACTTCCCCCACCATGCGTTCAGTTCCTTACACCGTGCTTCCCCTTTTTCCTCTCTTCCTTACACCCTACGAAACCCCTTTCCTCTCTCTGCCTTTCGCCCATCCTCCCCCCATTCCCTCACATCCTTACACCCTTCAACCCCCACCATGCGTTCTCTGCGTTACGCCCTTCATCCCCTATTCCCCACTCTGCCGGACCCCCTTATTCCGCCTTTCCACCCTCTATGCCTAGTACGCCCTTCATCCCCCTTCTCCCATCCTCCTTTTACCCTTCTTCCCCCTTAGCCCCTCTCTTCCCTACACCATACTTCCCCCTTTCCCCGCTCTACCTTACACCCTTCTTCCCCCACCAAGCGTTCTCTCCCAAACGTCCTGCTAAACCCCTTTTCTATCACTCCCCTACACCCTGCTTCCCCCTCTCCCCTTCTTCCGCCTTTCCACCCTCTCCGCCATACGCCCTTCTACCCCCTTTTCCCCCTCTTCATACGCCTTTCTTCCCCCCGTTCCCTCCCTTCCTTACACCCAAAATCCCTAGAGCTACTCTGCCATACTCCCTTCTTCCCCCTCTCGCTACTACCTCCATGCTCCCTTACGCTACCCGCACCTCCCCCTCTCCCTTCTTCTCGCCTTTCCCTCGCTGCCCACACTTATCTTCCATGTATCCCCTCTCTGTCTTACACACTCCTCTTGCCCCTACCCTCTCTCTGCCATCCACACTTATTCCCCCTATCCCCTCTTGGCCTTACCCCCGATCTTCCACCTTTCCACCTCTCCGCCCTACACCCTTCTCCCCCCTTTTCCTCCCTTTCTACGCCCTTCTTCCCCCTTTCCCGTCTCTGCCTGGTTCCGCCCTTCTTCCCCCCGTTCCCTCTCTTCCTGACACCCTTTTTCCCCCGTAACGTCACTCTGCCATACTCCCTGCTTTCCCACTTCCCTCACTTGTCTACACCCTTCTTCCCCCTCTCGCTCCCTGTGCCCTTTCACGCATCTACCTCCATGCTCCCCCCCTTGCCCTCTCACGCTACGCTGTCGACTGTCCCCTCGCGCCTGAATCACATTCTCTCTATGACCGCTCTCTCTTTCAAACTCCATCTCCTCCCTCTCCTCTCTCTGTCCGATATCCCCTCCCTGTTCTTATTCCCCTCGCCAACCAGCGCCCTACGCGTCGGCCCCTCTGCACCTCTCTGCTCACAGTCTCCAATCCGCCACCCTCGCCGTCGCCGCGCCACTCCTTGGGGTGTAACATCAACACTCTCACACCGGAACAAGGTACATCACGCCAACTCTTCCTTGCCTCGCTCCTCCCTCTTCCTTCTCTCGTCTCCATCCCCTCTCCGCTCTGTTGTTCCCTTGCACTAATGCACTGCCCTCCATCGCACACGTCCGCGCGTCTCCGCCGCGTACGCTCTCCCCCTTATGTCGCCCACTCACGCTACCCTCCTTCGCACCTGCGCACTCCCCTCCCGTCGCCCACGCTGACTCCCCTCCTTCGCCCACGCTCACTCCCCTCCCAAGACGGGACGCGACGCTTGAGTTGTGACACTCGCTCCCTCCTCCAAATCGCCCACGCTCACTCCCATCAATGCTGGTTTTGTAACATCAGCCCCTGTCCTCTCCGCGCCTCCCCTCCGTCCCCCCCATGCATCCACGCCGTCCCCCCCATGCATCCACGCCGTCCCCCCCGTGCATCCACTCCGCGCCGGGGGCGGCGGCGCTGATGGACTCCGCGGACCCGCGCGTGGCGGCGCTGGCGCGCGCGCAGCAGCGGAAGAAGGGGAAGAGCAAGTGGGGTGACACTGCGTTCGGGGGCGTGGAGGACGTGGCGCGCGCCGAGGAGGACTTCCAGGTGGGGGGCGAGGGGACGGGGGGGAGGGTAAGGGGGGAAGGGGAAAGGGGAGTGAGGAGAGGGGAGGGGATGGGAGGGGAGGGGAGTGGAGGGGAGGGGAACAAGGATAGGGAGGGAGCAGGGGAGCAGAAAGAGAGGGCACGGGCAGAAGGAGGGGGGGGCGGGGGGAAAGGGAAGGTGGGGGAAGCGAGGGAGGGAATAGATATGGGAGGAAAAGGGGAGGGAGCAGAGGGGAGGTATGGAGGGAGAGCGTGGATGGATGTGTGTGGGTGGGGCGATTGGGATGGTGATCACACTGGACAGGTGAGGGAAGGGGGCTAAGTGAATCACAGGGGTGTTGAGTGCGGTGAGCCTCATGGTAGGGCCGGTTGGGGTGAATGCGTCTCAGAAACGGTTCACTGGGCAAGCGGTGCTGGCAGTGCTGGCGGTGGGGAGGGGGGAGTATTGGCAGTGGGGAGGAAGGAGTGCCGTGCTCCGAGCTGCTTGACCCTCACCCGCATTCTTTCCTCTCCTGCTCTGCCCTGCTTGGCATGCCGTGCCGTGCCGTGCCGTGCCGTGCCGTGCCGTGCCGTGCCGTGCCATGCCGTGCTGCGCTGTGCTGTGTGCTGGGTGGTGTCATGGCATGGGCGCATGGGCTCATGGCATGGGCGCATGGGCTCATGGCATGGTGGCAGGGCGAGGAGGAGGAGGGGGAGGCGATGGAGCCGTTCAACCTGCAGCAGGAGCGCGAGGAGGGGTACTTCGATGCGGAGGGCAACTACGTGGAGTACAGAGAGGACACCGAGGCCACGGTGAGTGCAGGGAGGAAGAGGTGACGGTGAGAAGGAAGGTGTGGTTGTGGGTGCAAATGAGGGCCAAGACAGTGAGGCCAAGACAGTGAGGCCGCGCCACAGCAAGGAAGGAAGAGGTGATGGTGGCAAGGGATGCGTTTCAAACGCTTTCATCTGCCTCTCTTCCCTCTCCCCCTGCGCGCTGAATACTCTGGTGCTTGTTAGCACGGCAGCACCACGCACCCTGGCAGTGGTGTGGCCCCTCTCATGCCCTCCTCCCCTCTCCCCGTTTCCTCTCTCCCCCCATCCTCTCACACTCCCTCCCCCCCTTGCAGGATGGCTGGCGGCAGCAGCAGTGGATCCCACGCTGGCGGCCAAGGCAGCAGCGCGCACAGGCAGCAGCGCGCACAGGCAGCAGCGCGACCCCTTCACATTCTCACCTCCCATCTTCCCCGCCTCTCCTTTGCCCATCTCCCTCTTCCCCCTGCCACGACGCATGGCTGGCAACAGCAGAGGTGGACCCCACCCAGGCCGCCAAGGCAGCAGCACCACCCCTCCACGCATACTCACTCCAGCACGAGCCTGGAGGACGGCAGCGACGCCGACGACTGGGAGGAGCCCGCCCGCCACGCCGCCAACGGCGCCGCGGAGGCGACCGGCAACGACTCCGCTGAAGCCGCGTCTCCGGCCGCCACGGACCGCCGCGACTCCCCCAGTCGCGGCGACTCGCAGTTGCAATCGCCGTCGCGGTCGTCGCGATCGTCGTCGTCGCAGTCGTCTAGGTCGTCGGCGTCGTTGCGGTCGTCACACAGCGACGGGGAGAGTGAAGATCGAGGCGCTGGGGACGAGAGGAGGGAAGGCAATGGGGAGAGAGAGGAGGAGAAGGAAGGCGGGTATGACGGTGAAGGGATGGGAGGGGATGTGAAGGGCAGCGGTGGCGAGGAGTCGACGGGACGAGACCCGCGGGGTGATGGCGGCAAGGAGGGGGGAACGGGGGATGGGGGAACTGGGCTGGGCGTGAACCTGGACTTTGATGAGGACGACGGGAGTGACTATAACGAGTCTAGTGACGGTGAGGGGGGCGGGACGGGGAGTGACAGAAGCGGAGAGGAGTGGAGAGGAAGCGAGGGGGGGGAGGGGGGTGAGGGGGGGGAGCAGGAGCATGCGAGTGGCGTGAAGCGGAAGGAGCGAGGCGCGGGCGAGGCAGCAGAGGGGGATGAGCGGCCGGCGAAGCGGATGGAGGCAGGTGAGGGCGGGGGGGCCGAGGCGAAGGGGCTGCTGGTGCGCGTGGTGGCGGACCACTACAGCCGGCGCGACAACCAGCAGCGCCACGAGCGCGAGGCGAGTCCCATCATCCACCTCAAGAAGCTCAACAACTGGATCAAGTCCGTGCTCATCCGCATGCACACCCACCCCGCCCGCGGTGCGCGCGTGCTGGACCTGGCGTGCGGCAAGGGCGGCGACCTGACCAAGTGGGCGCGCGTGAACGTGGGCTTCTACCTCGGAGTGGACGTGGCGGAGGGCTCCGTGCACGACGCCATGGCGCGCTACAACGGCGACTCGCACCGCGGGGGAGGTGGGGGGGAGGGGGGGGGACGGCGACAGGCGGCAGATGCGGTTCCCGGCGAAGCTGGCGTGTGCGGACTGCTTCGGCGTGGCGTTGGACCGCGAGTTGCTGCCGTGGGCGCCGTTTGACATCTGCTCCACGCAGTTCGCCCTGCACTACTCCTTCGAGACTGAGCAGCGTGCACGCTGCGGGCTGCGCAACATTGCAGCGCTGCTGCGGCCGGGCGGCATGTTCATCGGCACCATCCCCGACGCCAACGTGCTCGTTCAGAAGCTGCGCGCCTCGCCGGACCTCAGGTTCGGCAACTCTGTCTACTCGATAGAGTTTGCCTCGGAGTTTGCCTCGAAGAAGTTCCCCTCGGCGCGGCCGTACGGCATCCGCTACGAGTTCCGGCTGGAGGACGCGGTGGACTGCCCCGAGTGGCTCGTGCCGTTTGCCTTCCTGCAGCGCCTGGCGGGCGAGTACGGGCTGCACGCGATCTACCACGCCAACTTCCACTCCTTCATCAAGACGCACGCCGCCGTGGAGCCGCACGCGTCGCTGCTGCGGCGCATCGTGGGCGAGCGGTGGCGCGAGGAGATGACGGCGGACGAGTGGGACGCCGCTTACCTCTACTGCGTGTTCGTCTTCCGCAAGGAGGGCCCAGGGGGGGCTGAGGGGGGTGGCGCTGTGGGGGAGAGGAGGGAGGAGGTGATTAGGAGAATGGAGAGTGATGATATTCTCATTCTTTGATACCGTACTAGTACACGGTGCGGTGATGCGAGGCAAGGAAAAGGGAATCAATTTCACAATGTCAAGTTTTTATGACAGGAAATCCAGTGTATTGTCGTCTGGAATGTCACATAAAGAAATGTGTTGACGAAACTTTGAGAATTCGAGTGTCCAATGTGGGGAACGACTTCCATCCAAATTCATCTGATATGTGTGCTGCCCCTCCCATTCCTCCTACATCTAGTTCCGCCGTTGCCGTTACCGTTGCCTTAGCAACAGGGTGTCCCCTTCACTCACGCCACGCGCGCCCCCATGGACGCTTCTCCCCTCCGTCCCCGCGATCGCACCCCTCGCGCGCGCTGGCTTCTCCTTGCTGCTCCGCTGCTCCTCCTCCTCCCCGCGCTCGCATGTCTTCGTCCTCCTCCACTCGCCTCGCTCCCTTTCCTCCCTGTCTTTCGCCCTCCCACATCTATCCGCGTGCTTCTCCTCTCCCCTTCCTCCGCCCCCGCCGCTGCTTCCCATCCCCACGGCGCGCCAGCTGACACGTCAGCGTGCCGAGCTGGCGGCGTTCTTCCACGTGGGCATGAACACGTTCACGGACCGCGAGTGGGGCACGGGCGGCGAGGACCCGCGGCTGTTCAACCCGGCGGCGCTCAACGCGACGCAGTGGGTCGACACCGTCAAGGCCGCCGGCTTCCAGGTGCGCGCAACGCGCCGGGCCTTGAGGTGCGCCGGGTGAGCCCGTCCTCTCCCTGCGTCTCTCAGGCGGATTGCGTGCCCGCGGTGGGGGCGGCCGTGTGGCGCAGATAATGGCGCGAGGGCGGAGCGCGCGAGGGAGGAACGCGCGCGAGAGAGGAGCACGCGAGGGGAGAGCACGCAAGGAGAGAGCACGCAGGGGGAGAGCACGCGGGGGGATAGCACGTGAGAGGATAGCACGCGAGGTGGAGGGGGGGTTGGTGAGTGGCTGTCGCTGGTGAGCTGTGGGCGGTGGGCACGCGGCAGGGGAGGCGCGCGTGGGGGAGACGCGCTGTCGAACCCGCGCCCGACACTTGCATGCGCGCTGCTGCTGTTGCTACTGTTGCTGCTGGGCAGGTGGTTCAAACAACCAGCTGCTTCACGTCGTGTGCCCCCTGCTGCATACTCCATGTCTGTATCCCACACCTGCCATTCTATGGTTATCCCACACATACCCACAACCCCCACACCTCTTGCGAGCCCACCCAAGCTTCACAGCCCCTCCGCGCCTTCATCGTCTCTGCGCTGCTCCTCAACCCTCTCAACCATCATGCTCCTCTCACCCCTCTCAACCATCATGCTCCTCTCACCCCTCTCAACCATCATGCTCCTCTCACCCCTCTCAACCATCATGCTCCTCTCACCCCTCTCAACCATCATGCTCCTCTCACCCCTCTCAACCATCATGCTCCTCTCAACCATCATGCTCCTCTCACCCCTCTCAACCATCATGCTCCTCTCAACCATCATGCTCCTCTCACCCCTCTCGCCCCGCGTCCCTTCCCCAACCCCAACCCCCCAGCTGGTGGTGCTGACAGCCAAGCACCACGACGGCTTCTGCCTGTGGCCCTCCGCGCTCACCAACCACTCCGTGCGCTGCTCGCCCTGGAAGGCCGGCCGGGGGGATGTCATTGCTGACGTGGCGGCGGCGGCGCGGGCGGCGGGCGTGGGGTTGGGGTTATACCTGTCGCCATGGGACCGCAACGCGTGGGCGTATGAGGAGGGCGTTGAGGCGTACAACGATTTCTACGAGGGGCAGCTGCGCGAGCTGCTCACCCGGTGCGTGAGGGGGGGATGGGAGTGCTCGCGTGGTGGGGGGGGGATGGGGAGCGGGCAAGCATGATGGGTAGCAGTGGGTTTGGGTGTATGAGCGCGGGGCAGAGGTGTCTGAGCAGTAGGGCAGTGGTAAGGGTAGTGGTAAGGGCAGTGGTAAGGGCAGTGGTAAGGGCAGTGGTAAGGGCAGTGGTAAGGGCAGTGGTAAGGGCAGTGGTAAGGGCAGTGGTAAGGGCAGTGGTAAGGGCAGTGGTAAGGGCAGTGGTAAGGGCAGTGGTAAGGGCAGTGGTGAGAGGAGTGGTGAGGGCAGTGGTGAGGGCAGTGGTGAGGGCAGTGGTGAGGGCAGTGGTGAGGGCAGTGGTGAGGGCAGTGGTGAGGGCAGTGGTGAGGGCAGTGGTGAGGGCAGTGGTGAGGGCAGTGGTGAGGGCAGTGGTAGGGCAGTGGTAAGGGCAGTGGTAAGGGCAGTGGTAAGGGCAGTGGTAAGGGCAGTGGTAAGGGCAGTGGTAAGGGCAGTGGTAAGGGCAGTGGTAAGGGCAGTGGTAAGGGCAGTGGTAAGGGCAGTGGTAAGGGCAGTGGTAAGGGCAGTGGTAAGGGCAGTGGTAAGGGCAGTGGTAAGGGCAGTGGTAAGGGCAGTGGTAAGGGCAGTGGTAAGGGCAGTGGTAAGGGGAGTGGTAAGGGCAGTGGTAAGGGCAGTGGTAAGGGCAGTGGTAAGGGCAGTGGTAAGGGCAGTGGTAAGGGCAGTGGTAAGGGCAGTGGTGAGGGCAGTGGTGAGGGCAGTGGTGAGGGCAGTGGTCAGGGCAGTGGTCAGGGCAGTGGTCAGGGCAGTGGTAAGGGCAGTGGTAAGGGCAGTGGTAAGGGCAGTGGTAAGGGCAGTGGTGAGGGTAGTGGTGAGAGTAGTGGTGAGAGGAGTGGTAAGGGCAGTGGTAAGGGCAGTGGTAAGGGCAGTGGTGAGGGCAGTGGTAAGGGCAGTGGTAAGGGCAGTGGTAATGGCAGTGGTAAGGGCAGTGGTAAGGGCAGTGGTAAGGGCAGTGGTAACGGCAGTGGTAAGGGCAGTGGTAAGGGCAGTGGTAAGGGCAGTGGTAAGGGCAGTGGTAAGGGCAGTGGTAAGGGCACTGGTAAGGGCAGTGGTGCGGGCAGTGGTGAGGGCAGTGGTGAGAGTAGTGGTGAGAGTAGTGGTAAGGGCAGTGGTAAGGGCAGTGGTAAGGGCAGTGGTAAGGGCAGTGGTAAGGGCAGTGGTAAGGGCAGTGGTAAGGGCAGTGGTAAGGGCAGTGGTAAGGGCAGTGGTAAGGGCAGTGGTAAGGGCAGTGGTAAGGGCAGTGGTAAGGGCAGTGGTAAGGGCAGTGGTAAGGGCAGTGGTAAGGGCAGTGGTAAGGGCAGTGGTAACGGCAGTGGTAAGGGCAGTGGTAAGGGCAGTGGTAAGGGCAGTGGTAAGGGCAGTGGTAAGGGCAGTGGTAAGGGCAGTGGTAAGGGCAGGTGGTAAGGGCAGTGGTAAGGGCAGTGGTAAGGGCAGTGGTAAGGGCAGTGGTAAGGGCAGTGGTAAGGGCAGTGGTAAGGGCAGTGGTAAGGGCAGTGGTAAGGGCAGTGGTAAGGGCAGTGGTAAGGGCAGTGGTAAGGGCAGTGGTGAGGGCAGTGGTGAGGGCAGTGGTGAGGGCAGTGGTAAGGGCAGTGGTAAGGGCAGTGGTAAGGGCAGTGGTGAGGGCAGTGGTAAGGGCAGTGGTAAGGGCAGTGGTAAGGGCAGTGGTAAGGGCAGTGGTAAGGGCAGAGGTAAGGGCAGTGGTGAGGGCAGTGGTGAGAGTAGTGGTGAGGGTAGTGGTGAGGGTAGTGGTGGGGGGATGGAGGGAGAGGGCATGATGTTATTGCAGAGCATTCACGCGCCCTCTTCACCCCGTACTTCCTCTTCACCCCACACTTGCTCTTCACCCCGCACTTGCTCTTCACCCCACACTTGCTCTTCACCCCGCACTTGCTCTTCACCCCGCACTTGCTCTTCACCCCGCACTTGCTCTTCACCCCGCACTTCCTCGCTGCTGAATCTAGCAACTCCATTCCCCTTTTCTCCCTCCACCTCTCTGTCTGCTCCCCTGCATCGTACCTCGCCTCCCTGTGTCACCTGTATCTCCACTCTTGCATCTTATTTGCCCCGCTTTCCTCATTTCCTCCCACTCCCTCTTTCTTCTTTTCCTCGTTCAACGTGCCTTTGAAGATACAATTTTCGTATCTCAAGCCGGCAGCGCCTCTCCCACGTCCTATCCGCCCAGCACGTTGTGCGTGATGCACCGAGCTTGTACGAGGAGCTTCAACCCTGCCCTGCCCTGCCGCCTGCGCCCTGCCTGGCAGCTACGGGCCCGTGGCGGAGGTGTGGCTGGACGGCGCCAAGGGGGACCGCCGCCCCATGACCTCCCACACTGCCACGTGGCAGGCTCTCATTCGCCAGCTGCAGCCGGCAGCGGCGGTGTTTTCAGCGCAGGGCCCCGACATGCGGTGGGCGGGCAACGAGCGCGGCAAGGCGGGCGAGCCGTGCTGGGCCATGGTGAACGGCAGCTCGTTGACCCTGGAGGGATGGGACACCGAGTGAGTGCCCACGGTCACTGGGGTGGCACTGGGAGTCGAGTGGGGTGGCACCAGGGGCCGACTGGGGGGCGAGTGGGGGCGTACGGGGGGTGAGTGGGAGGACAAATGGGGGGCCGAGTGGAGGGTGAGTGGGGGACGTCATTGCCCTTTTTCTTGTTTCCACATGCGCCCATCCATGCGCCCCCTTGTGCACAACCATGGGTTTGCATGCATCCGGTGTGCCGTACATACATGCCATCCCCCTGTTCCCACACCCCTGCCACCCTCTCTCCTTCACCACCCACTCCTTCCGAGTCCCAACCCATGCCTTTCCAACCCATCCACCTCGCCCGCAGCTACCTGAACCACGGTGATGTGGCGGGCACGGATTGGATGCCAGCAGAGTGTGACGTGTCCATCCGCCCGGGGTGGTTCTGGCACCCCTCGGAGCGCCCCAAGCCCCTCGCCCACCTGCTGCACCTCTACTTGGCCTCGGTGGGGCGCGGGTGCTCGCTGCTGCTCAACGTGCCGCCCAACACCACGGGCCTGCTGCACGGCGAGGACGTGGAGCGGGTGGGGCAGTTGGGCCACGCGCTGCAAGTGCTGTTCCAGGAGGAGGTCAGCGCTGCTGCTCGCGTACACGCCAGCAGTATGTATGGCTGCGGGGGGGGATGGAGGCGGAAGGAAGAGGAGGAGAGGGATCTACGAAGGGAATGGTTTGGTTTGGGGTTATGGGGATGGTGGGGGGGTTGGGGGCGAGGGAGTGGGTGTGAGTACAGGCCTGAGAATGTGCTGAGTGCAGGGGATGGCACCTTTTGGGCGGCTGAGGATGGGGTGCTGTCTGCTACTCTCCAGTTCGACCTCGGGCAGGTGAAAACCTTTCATGTGGTTCGGTTGGAGGAGCCTGTGGCGTACGGGCAGAGAGTAAAATCGTTCACAGTGGAGGTGCTCGACCCGGACCCTGCTGCTGCAGCCGCCGCCGCCATTCCAGCTGCCCCTGCTGCCGACGGTGGTGGTGCTGGTGCTGGCGGGTGTGGGCCAGGCGGGTGCAATGGCGGGGATGGTGTGCTGCCGTCCCTGCCTGGTGTGCCGGGCCTGGGAGAGAATGCGCTCCACATACTGCATGGCGCCCAGGGGGCAGCACGCAGCATGCAGGAGAGGACGGGGAGTGCTGGGAGGGCGGGCGAGTGGAGGGTGGTGGCGAGGGGCAGCACTGTGGGGCACAAGAGGCTGTTTCGGTTGGAAGCAGTGAGTGCGCGGCATGTGAGGCTTGTCATTCACGACGCCAGGGCTGCCCCGCTGCTCTCCTTCTTTGCGCTCTACAGGAGCGGTGATTGGAGCACCATATGATCTCACGGGCCCTACCAGATCACTGTGCAATACACCAACTCACTGCTGCTGCCGCTGCATCTTCCAGGCCAATCCTACATCTCCCCGCTTACCACTAGCAGTCCTTTATTCGTGCTGTATAGCGGAAAGGAGAATAGAACTAGATGCCTGGTTTTTTTTTAGCTTTTATTATGCAGGTCAACAGATGGTGACGTTTCTACATGTATATATGGTAATGGAAGTTTTCAAGAAGTAGAAGGAATGGAATGGTGTGACTAGCAAGGGTTGGGATACAAATACATAGCCCTAAATCGTTTGTACCCCCTATTGCATGCCTCACTATAGCCTACAAAACATATGCAACATTTGACACACCCCCATAGGCTAAGAGAGGGGCAACAAAACGAGCAAGAGAAACAAATGGTCACAAGACCAGTCAAGAGCAACAAAAACACAAAGCTCTCGGTGGATCACGAAGCTACCACACAGTCTGAGCACAAACAAGAGGTCACAAGGCCAGTTCAAGAGTTCACAAATATATATATAATCACAAACCTAAGCGGAACAAGAAACAAGAGGCAAGACTACAGCAACCGAGGGCCTGCCTCAACTAGGCCTAGCTGCAGTCAGAACCTGTGGTGGTCAACAGGCGGAAGGGCCTTGGTGAAGATGACTGCAGTGGTGGTCGCTGGGGCCACAAAGTCCAAGCATGCCTGGCCGCATCGCTACAGCTTTGCAGTAGGTACCTCACGTCGATGTGCTTCACAAGGATCATGGCCTTGTTGTCAGCGAACAAGGTCGGTGCAGAGCTCGGTCGCTCGCCAAGGTAGGTGAGCAAAAAGTTTAACCAGCGAAGCTTCCGCAAAGCCATGGCACCGGCGTAGATCTCGGCCTCAGCGCTAGACTGCGCCATAAACGACGGCTGAGTAGACATCCATGCAACATCACCAGAGCCTAAGCTAAAACAGTAACCCGGAGTAGTGCTTTGTGTCTCCACGTCGTCTGCGTAGAAAGAGTCGTAGTCAGGGCCTAATTTTCGATATTTGTAACTCTGATGTCAGAAGTGTAAACAGCGGAATGAATGCACTAGCAGAAGGTTGGGTAAATAGAATCGAAACCCTAATTGGGTTGTACCTTCTAGAGTGTGCCTCATTGTAGCCTACAACCTAGCACATGCATGTTGTTTGACACAACCCCATAGGCAAAGTGGGGGACAACAACACACAATAAAGCAAAGCTCAGGGTGGATCACGAAGTTACCACACAGTCCGAGCACAAGCAAGCGGCCACAAGGCCACTTCACATGCAAACTTCTAGAAAGCACAAGCAGTACAGAGATTACAACCTAGCAAAGGTAAGCATGCAGATATATATATCACAGTACAAGGCAAAGTCAAGAGGTAAGCAAGTGAGGCAGAGTAGGCATTAGGCCTAGAGCACTGCAGAACCGCTGATGATCAGCAGACCCTAGGGCATTGGTGAAGCTATCAGCGGTGTTGGTCCAAGAGGCCACGTAAGCAAGGCGAATCTGACCACGCTGCTGCAACTCTCATGCGAGAAAGTAACGAAGAGCAATGTGCTTCGTTCTGTGCTCCAGTCTCTGCTCCTGACACAAGGCAATCATGGCCTTGTTGTCGACGTGCTATTCATGCGTGCATTATTTGCATGAGCATATGTCATAGTGCACGACTGTTGGATATTATCATCTCTGTGTAATGCTTGATCATGCAGATGAAATCCGGAGCTTTCCAACAATACCAAGATCGCCTTATTCCGACCAAGATCGCCCACGTTACAAGATTTCGATTTTTTTAGAATTATATCTCTGAGATATTATCTACATTGGGCGATTATTGGGACAAGACTATAAAGGGATCTTTGGTTGGGTGGTTAGGAAGGCAACTTTGACTTTTGGATTGGGGTGGCTAGAAGTTTCTAGCATGGGTTGCAAATGTTGCAATACCTAGGAAAAATCCAACTAGATTGGATTTTGCATGTAACACCTCAAATGTCTCATGATGAGGGTTGCATCCTTGCTGCTAAGAAGGTTCATACCATCCTTCCCTAGCTCTTGGAGAACCCCTTCCCTCTCATGGTTCTCATGAATTTCTGGCAGAATTCTCTCCAAACGACTTCTCAAGTTTCCACCCTCAATATGACTGGTACGGACTCCGGAGGTGGTAATGGCGAGATGGCTATAGGTAAAGAGGCTGGAGAGCAAGGGGGAGTTGCTGGTGGTGGAGTGGGGACTCACCAACTAGCCAACCCTACGCTACCCTCAACTTCTACACCATCTCTAACAACCGTGGATCCCGTGAAGGCGTTCTCTATTGACAAATTCATGGGGGAGGACTACGAGCACTGAAGCTTCCGCATGAGGCTGATGTATACTCAATACAAGCTATTGGATTTGATGGAGGGGAAGGAGAAGATGCCGGAGGCCGCGGGGCTGAAAAGAGCGTGGATGAAGCGGTCATTCGACGCGTATATGCTCATGGTGCAAGCGATTGGCGGACGACAACTTGACCACATCAAGGACCTCTTGGGTGATCCAGAGTGTGGCCCCAATGCTTGGAGGAAGCTCTGGATGTGCACTCACCGACACACGCTACCGGCATCGTGCTACTCGCGCGGCAGCTGCGCGACATCAAGTTTGTTGATGGAGAGCCGACGCAACCGGTGTTGGACGAGATGTGCGGCATCTTCACGAAGCTCCAAGGCGGCGGCGATGTGGTGTACCCGGAGCTCGTGCAATGCGTGGAGATTGTGATACAGCTGCCAGAGTCGTGGTCTGCCCTTGCCATCAACCTCAACTCCCAACAACCCCAATGGAGCGTGGATTAAACCCGAGCGCGCATCCTTGAAGAGGACTTGCGGCGGCGGTGTGTGGAGCGCTCGGAGGAGGGGGCTGGCTATGGAGTTGGAGGTGGAAAGAGTGGCTTCAAGAAGAAGTGGAAGGGCAAGAACAAGGACAACCATACAGAGGAGAACGGCGGGGGCCAAGGGGAGGTGTGCTTCTACTGCAAGAAGCGCGGACATCGTTGGCGGAAGTGCTACCAACGATCTAAGGATTGGACCCCACCTTCATCAGGCAACCAACATGGTGGCAAGAGGAGTGGGGGAGTCATGGGAGCTAGTGGAGAGGAGAAGGATGAGGAGAAGGGTGGCAAATCTGAGGAGCGGAAGGCCGGGTTCTTCTTCTTCGTGAATGAAGGCGCAACCGACCCCGCCATGGCTGCCAAGGTTCTCCTACACTCCCTCACCCATTGGGTGATTGACTTGGGAAGCTCCTGGCACATGACTCTTCGTGCGGATCTACTCAATGAGATTCTGCCCGCACCTATCTCTACGGTCACATCCGCGACGGGCGCCAAGGCCAAGGTCATGGGCATGGGATGCACCAAGTTTATGGGAGCGGATGGAGAGCTCGTGTGGTTGAAGAACGTGCTGTGGGTGCCGGACTTGTGCGCGAACCTGATTTCTACTGGCCGGTTGGGAGATGCGGGTGTGAACACCGAGACGATTGGCTCGGAGCGCTATCGTGCCTACAACGACGAGTGCCTCATTTAGGACCTGCAACGTAAGGGAGATGTCCACAAGCGGATGTGGCAGATCCCGGTCCTCCCTTGGCGAAAATCGGGCAAGGTGGCAGCCGCGGCATCAATGGAGGAGAGCGTCACCGAGGAGGAGCAGCAACGTGTGCAAGGAGATGAGCTTGGAGGAAGCGCGATGGTGAAGGCGTCGGCTACATCTGGCCAAGCGAATTGGGAGACTTGGCACCGGCGGCTTGCACACGTGGCTGTTTCTACATTGGAGGTGATGCACAAGGAGAAGTGTGTGCATGGGCTGCAACTGCAAAGAGATGGTGCTTCTGTTGGTAGCTGCGAGGCGTGCATGCAAAACAAGTTTGCACGGTTCTCGTTTCCACGTGCGGAGGGATCAGCAAAGGGACCACTGTTGACCTCCTCGAGGAGCACCTCCTTGCAGCTGAAAAGAGTATAGTCGCTGTAGGAGCCTCTCGTGGTGACCCCCGTGCCCCTTTCTTTGAGGGGTGCTCCCCCTCTCCCCTCTTGCCCTCTGTTGCCTCTGCTGCTGCTGTCGACCTCGTTGGCACCGAGTCGGTCGGCACTGCGTCTGCCCCTAGTGGCAAGCGCCGCAACAGCAAGGGCAAGTGGGGCAAGGGAGGTGGAGGGGGCGGCGGGGGCGGCAGCAGTGGCGGTGGAGGAGGAGGAGGGGGTGGCGGTGGAGGTGGGAGTGGTGGCGGGACTGGGGGTGGCGGCGGTGGAGGTGGAGGCGGCGGAGGCAGCGGGAGTGGGGGTGTAGGTAGCGGCGGCGGCGGAGGAGGTGGGAGTGGCGGGGGTGGTGTTGGGCAGCGGGGAGGCTCTAGCGGTGGCCAGCGCCAGCAGCAGCAGCGTTCCCGTGAGACCCCGTCGCCTCAGCAGCTTCGTGAGTGGTACGCTGGGCGTGGGAGGTCTGGGGGTGCTGGTCCCTGCACCTACGTTCTTCGCACAGGCGACCGCACTGGAGAGCCGTGCGGCGGCACGCACACCACTCCACGCTGCTTCGGCCGCCTGACTGACGCCTGGCGTACTCAGTTCCCTGGCTCCACTGAGATCCCTCGCTGGGATATTCTGCTTAAGTCGGGGGTTGCTATCTTTGATCTTGACTATGATGCTATCCTTGCTGCTATGTATGCTGTGTCTACTAGTGATGAGAGTGACTGTTACCTGTGTGTTCCGCCCGACCCGGGCATTGAGGCTGCTGCTCTAGGTGCTAGTGAGTCTGCTGCTTCAGGTGCTGGTGAGACTGCTCCCTCAGGTACCACGTCGGCTCAGGCCTTGCACACTTTCACCCTTGACTCGGGTGCTTCCCGCTCCTTGTTTCGCGACTGCACCACCCTCTCGCCGCTTAGTCAGCCGGTGGCAGTCTCTCTGGCTGACCCCTCTGGGGGACCAGTTGTAGCCAGTTCCTCCACTGTCCTTCCGTGTCCTGCTGTTCCGTCCGGCTCGCTGTCTGGTCTT